GACGTAATAATTTCGTTATTAAAAACCAAAATATGGATGAATGGTGTTAGAGAATTATATCACTAAGTGACTCTCAAATGAAAATGTCATTTCATCTAATCAGCCAAATGAGAAATGGTAAATATTACTACTAAAATATATAATAGAATAAAAAAAATATTAAAAATGACTATTAGAAATTATCATCCGATAACAAAAAAAAAACTAATTTTGCCGTGAAATCAATAAAGATATAACAAAATAGATATACCCTATAAAAGTTTTGCATATTATGTAGAAGCATTGAAAATTGCTTTAAACGGGCCGTTGAATCGAAAATCGTTCCATTCACATCTCGTACAATTAGCATATTCAAAGCGCTCGATTCACTACAATAAATTCTTCTAAATTAAATTTATTATCGATAAAAAACTCAAAATTATTACTCATATAATAAAATAAATTATCATTATTTTCATTATTGTTATTATTATTGTTATTGTCATTGTTATTAACTATTATTTTTATTATTATTACCGTTATTATTTTATTATTACTGCTATTATCATTTTAAATATCTATATAAATAACGATATTTATAAGCTATCATTATTTTTATTATCATTACTATTACTTTACTATTATTATTATTACTACTATTATTATTGCTACAATTATTATTATTAATTATACTAAACAACAATTTTTTTCTCTTATAAAATAAGCATTTAGAAATTATGAAAGCAAATTTTACAAAAATAATTTTTAAAATATTAAGCAAATTAACATTTTAGATCTCGAAAAGAGAATAAAATTGCTTTTGCTTAATGTTTAACAGACAAATTTGACGAAAATGTTCAAGGACAATTAACATTTATTATTAAAGTTTTTTTTATTAACTTCAGAAATAAACTGATAGATTTCATATGAAAAATGCAAAAAATTTGAAAATTTTTTACGCGATTCTCGAGCACTAAAGGAAAATTTATGATAAATTACCTGTAAAATATCAACTTCCATAAATTACATCATAACATTGATGTTTTGCTGTTTGATGCTGTTTTTCAGAGTTATTTTGCGAATATTGCTAGGCTTGAACTTTGAGTTAAAGCCTGGGAATCATTTTTCGTGGTATTATATATTGGCTAATAAAAAACTTCTTACGCGATCTTACGCATGGATAGAATTATCCCCAATTCTAATATATCTTCCTTCACACATCTTCGAAACTCGTTAGTGCTCCTTTATCACATTTTCAAATCTTGCCGCATTTTTTTCACACCAACTAAATTGCCACAGCTTGGCCTCATATTTCAATATATTCCAACCCGGCCTCCTCCTTCAATATTATCATTCACGGCCGTTCAATGTTTTATAATTTAATTTATAAAAATGAACTTCGAAGTTTGACGATCTGTTAAAGAAATATAATGGGGGTGGGTTGTGCTGGGGATTATAAGGGGATTACAAAGAGATCTAAGGGAATTATGAGGTCAAAAATGATTTGATATGACGTTGATAACGGATTACGGCAAAAAATCTTGCAAAGCTTTTGGAGTATTTAATGGAGTTTGGTAGCATTTTTCACAAAATGTGGCAGATTTTCCAGTATCTCAAAGAATTCAACATGGTTGAGATTCCGCAGGATTTCAGAGCGCATTCTTGAGTATTAGTTCTAACCTATATCCTATTTACCTGTTAAACGAACAGATCCTTACAAGATTGCATCCACTTCAGCTCGAAAACCATTTGCTTTAATAATATCGTCAAAAAAAGTGTCGCTTATTCCGGTTAGACCATGGTTTTCATTATATATCACAGAAACCTCGTTACTTCCTTAGCGCTATGATGGATACCGAAAATTGCCAATCAAGAACTGAACTAAGATTTTGAACGGACTATCCTTTATCTTTCTATTACTTTCGGCACAGGATTGAGATGCATGGGAACCCTTATAACCAGTCTAATTAGTAATGATACTAACTGGAAGAACAATTAATTTCAATGAAATGAAATCTTAGCTTATAATTGGTGGATTATGGTTCCCTTAGCAATTTATGAGTGCATTTCAAGGAGTCTATGAGCACCAAAAAAAGATTTATTTATTTATATATATATATATATAACAATTTGAGAACTTGGTTATTACGATTTTCCTTTGCGATACAATCTTTAATTATATGTAAAATCTTTTATTGATGTATTTATGCTTATTTTTATTGGAATGGGTCTTTATGGTCGACAACTAATTTTCGAATCGAAATTTGGTGGTGAAACACCAATTCATGGTCATTTTTTTTCCAACTCTTAACAATTTTATAAACTATATTTTTTTTAATTCAACTGTTGTTTAATAAACTAAATATTTATTTAATAATAAATTTATTCAATAATAAATAATAAATTTAATAAACTAAAAAAATTTATGACTTCTGAATAAAAAAAAAAATGCATCTATGTCATAACCTATAATTATGATCTATAAATTTTAGAAAGATAGCTAAAAACCTAAAAAAGAAAGATGAAAAAAAAAATGAAAAAATATCGAAAAACATGTAAAAACTATCAAAAAAAAAAACCTTGAAATGCTTTTGACAATTTTTTTAGTTAAATTTTCTTTTTTTTCTCTTAAAATGATAAACGAAAAAATTTGCCTCTTTCTTTTTGTCGCAAATTTAATTAATTTATTTAAATGTTATTGCAAATAAAATTAAATTAATCAGTTTAAGATGCAGGAGAAATAAAATTAAATTTTACGAAAAATTCTTATTCAATGATTCTAGAAAAATGTGAAAGAAACGCAAGCTATAAAATTGGTGAAATTAAATTAATCGAATTAAATTACGAAACAAAAATTTTATTTATTTATGAATTGGACAAATATTTTATGGTACCATTCTAGTATATACGCTGGCTCTTATTCATCAATGTATTATAGAAAAATTCACTAAATAATACGCTAAAATGAAAGTAGAACGGTTCGGTGTGGTGTTGTTTTCCGTTTCATAGCGCCAGTGTTGTGATTCGAGAGTAAACCTGTCTTTCAAAAATCTTTATGATACTGCCGGATCATTTGTGAATCTTTCACCAAGTGACTCCTTGGCAAATTTCATTTAATCCGGTAGGTTAGCAAATTATTTAGATACTGGTTTTTTTAAAAAATTTTTTCATAATTTGTCATAATTTGTTAGAAGTGTTTTTCGTTAATTTCTTTAATTAATAACCTCGCTGAGAAATATTTTTATGGTTTTTTTTTTAAAATAAAACTACTCGCTAAAAATTTTCAGTACAATAATAATAATTCTTCAAGTGCAACGACCCACAAAAGTTTCCGTTCATTCTACTGCATAACTATAATAGAACATTAATAAATCATTTAAGCCGATTAGATCAACACCGGATTTTCACAAAAATAATCCTATTAGCAATATTGCTTATTTCGCTTATTCATGAAATTCCATTATATCTATCGAATTCAATTTCCATTTTCCTAGTTTTTTTTTAAAATTTTATTTAAAATTTAAAAAATTTCGAATAGTATAAAAATAAAATAAATTTTAAATAAATAGGCTTTCGGATACGGAATCAATTTTTTGATAATAATGGTTAAATAAACAAGATAGACTTACTGATAATAAAAATGATAAAATTCTAGCGATAATAGATTTAGAAATTGTACTATATTTCAGAAAACACTCTCCGCTTGAAAAAACTAAGGGAATTTAGAATTGGCAATTGTTAGAATTTTATTAAAATTTATTAAATTTATTAAAATTAACTAAATCTTCCTAGCCATGAAATTATAACTGGTTTTATAACTGTCGATCAATCAGATGAGCGTGGCAAAAGTAAATAAAGCAAAGAATGTTGAACCAATTTATTAAATCAGTATTTACAAATGAATAAAAAAATTAAAACATTCAATTCCAGGCTAAGGTGCTGAAGCAATTCAAGGATCAGAACTGCTGAAAATTGATGAATTGTTGATCTCAGCTGAAACCTTCCTTTAAAAACTTGGCTAAAACCATTTTAGAATTGATCATTCAAAAATGGTCAATAGACTCGCATTAACTGTGGTAAGACAAGACAAAAACCATAAGTTGGATAGCAAAGAGATATAATATAACCTTGATTTAACCTTGAATGTGGAGACAACAGTTCGAATATGCGACAATATGAGAAATTATGTCGCTAGCATAGCTCAAGAAATCGTTAATGAAATGATCGGTGAGATTTTTTTAAGACTTATAAACATCGCTTCTACAGATAGGCAAAGTTCCTACGATGAAAGATGTAATATTTTGACTACGGTTGGGACGAATTTGGAACTATACAATTGCAAATGCATGAAAATTTCAGTCAGAGATTAAACTCATTAAAACTCCTGGAAAAGAGAATCTCCGAGCTGAGCACTTCAAATACCTATTCGCCTTCTCTCTATATAAAGATTGTATACATTCATTGAATAAAAATTTTTGCCATTTAAGTAAAGCAATTCTACTGTTAATCTTTAAGGAAAGTGATAAGACGCATTGTAATAGGCATCTAGATTAAAAGATATTTGAGATTTTTACCTCTCTTACACTGAATAGAACTATGGCGATGCAAGAGAGCAGCCCAAACAAATTTAGATCTGAACGGAGGTATGAGTGTGATGATTAGATTTTTATGCTGAATTTTATCGTTCCTAGTATCGAGAGCCTTATTACTTTGTAGACTTTATAGCCATAGCTTTCGACTCGACTGATAGAATTGTGTTTTGACAGAGCCTGCAGGATGACGATGTTCGAGAGATGATAATCGTTCTATTAAAACACTTCCACATGTATCAGCGCATCTTTACACATAAATACTGGTGTTCGTATTTTTTAACTTCTTCATCCACATTTTTCAGCCATACGATGGAATGGGCTTTGGATGAAATTTGCACTAAAGAGATGTACAATTGACTGAATGACAAATAAAATTCGAGAAAACCAGCAACATTAGGGTTGATTGGTACAATGAAATGAAAATTCACCTCAAGCAAATTTCCAAAGTACACCCAGAGCTCGAGTCAACTCTCGAACACGCTGGATATATTGCCTTTCACACTGGCAGTCACAAAGAACTACAAAATATATTAAAATATGGTATCGCAAATCCGACAATTCTTAAAACGGCACAACCATTAATATTTAATCAGCGTCTGGTCCAGAGGTATCGAATTGAATACTTTGGATCGACCCTCACACCTCAAAGGCGGAATCCCATTCCTAATAGCCGCATCTAAGTGGGTTTTCATCAGTCTGATGAAACGAAAATTCGCGTCTACCTGGGTGCACAAGCATAGCCAGCGGAAAGTGGAAGATACCGGGAAAAACCATAAAAATCGAGCTTTAGATGAACTCTTCCAAACAAATTATATTGAAATGTAACTTTTTTTACAAAAAAAAAAAAAAAAATGAATTGACTCACACGAAGACAAAAAGTAAGTTGAAAACATATCCGTCACAAATATCTATAAATCGTAATTTGCTTCCTTGTCGATCTACGGCGCGCCATGTTGATTCGGGAATCAAAGGGTCACATCCACTAACGCAATCCCTAAAGTCGCTCTCTAATCATATTGTTTTGAGAAAATTTTCAAAGTTTCCATTTTCAAAAGCTTAGTACTTATAGCAAACATTATATTATCCTTTCCATATCCCAAAAAGGAAAAAAGGAAAATTTGCGAAAATACTCTCTCTACTAAGTAATAGTGAAATATCAAAGGAGAGCAAGTAAGATTTTACTGTAACAATGAAGCCACTGAAACATAATTTACAACTTATTTTTATTTTTTATTTTTATTTTATTTTTATTTATTAGATTTATTTATTAATTAATATTTTACTGAAATGAGCAGCAAATATAATGGATAATTCTTAACAACGAATTACTTTATCCATGATCCAAGAGGCTGTCGCCAAAAGTCTTCTTCATCATCAACGACCGTTGGCATTTGCTACGATCTTTATCACTTCTCAAAATATTGCAATTCGAATATTCAATGGCAGTCTCTGTAAAGATAATAGATTTGAAGAAAACAATTCATCGAACGTTCGTTGAACGAGAGGTGAATAAATAATCACCATGGAGATATCGAAATACATAAGAATCAAGTACAGTTGAAGCGTACTTCATTGATTTTGATATATTTTACAACTAAATAACTTAACAATTGTGGTAAAAATTGATAAAAAAGACAGATCGTTATTCGTAAAGAATTATAATAAATCTATCAAGGGTGGCTCTTTGAAATAATAAATATGCTATTTAATATGCGCAAAGACAGAAGAAGATTCATTTGAAAAACGACTCTTTCTTCGTTGAATGCCTTTTATTACCTTTCTTTGGTTGTCATTTTCATCATTCATTCTAAAGCACAAATATTTTTTCTGCAATGAAAAAACTGATATAGAAGGAAAGATTCCATAAATTACCACAGATTTTTATAACAAAACACTTATAGTTGGATCGAGGATATCACAACTGATTTTTTACAAATGAATTGATTACAGTATATCGCAAATTTTTTTTTAAATCGTTTAACACAAAAATTATGTTTATTTTCCGATTGAGGGAGTTTGTGCCAATAATAATAATAATAATAATAATAATAATAATAATAATAATAATAATAATAATAATAATAATAAGCAACAATAATAACAATAATAATATTGGATCTTAGAATATTTAAGTTAGAGTTTATTTTAATAAAGTGATTTGACTTTGTCTTGGTTAAATCTAATATGCCAATTTAAATTGTGCTGATTGTTATGACTTCCGCTTGAATTTCTATACTGCCGGAGGTAATGGGTTGAAATCGCTCAAATCAGTTTATAAGATGGTAGTACTAGCCCTTTGATATTTTAAATACTAAAAATAGATAGATGTAATTCGAGTATTCTTTTATATGCTTGTGACTGTGAAATTCAGTTCTCGCATGGCGGATTGAAGAATTTCAATGAAATTCAGATCGACTTGAATAATACTTGAATAATAATTAAATGGTTTCAGGAAAGGCATATCAATTTATTTTTTCGATAAATCAATGCTAAACAGTGTCCAATTTTCTACCTATTTTTATTGATAATTTGACTCGATTAAGCAAATAATTTAGTAGATTTTAGTTTTATTAGTTGATGAAAAGTTTGATTTTGATTTGAACATATTATATTTGAACAAAGTCTCCTAGGATTTTAAAGCTCTAAAATTTAAAATCTTTAGAAATAGATCAGATTTTTTCTACCAATATAACTACTACAGTTTGTTTCTCACCGAAACATCGTAAAGTAGTAAAATTAGTCAAAATATTTATAGAAATATTTCCTAGGCCACATAAATCCTAACTCTTCTTTAAATTATAAGATTTTATAAATTTATTAATCTGCTTCGCTTAGAGGAAGAAAAATAAAATTTGGCAAGTTTCAATTTTCGCTTATAAGATTTTATTTAATTTAAACTGTGCCGGCTGTTACTTTCGCTTGGATTTTAATACTACCAGAGGAAATCGGTTGAAATTATTTAAATAAATTTATGAAGCTATGTTTTATTCTACAACTTCTTCAATTAGAAGTATTTTATTAATTACTTGAATAAATTACTTAGTGATGTTGTTTTCGCTTCGCCCGCCCCAGTTTTAATGATAACCTTAACAGTCACCAGTGACATTATTTAAGACTTACTGCAAGCATTGGTAACATTGTTAGCATGATAGCATTTGTTTTTAAATTCTATGGTTTATTTTATTTTAACCTCTTTTTGCGTTCACTCTCACATTTTCGGCCTTGTTTGCCGTGTTTTATGCTCGAACGAGTTTATGTTTTGCCTAATTCTTATAAAATAAATAAATAATAATAACAAGTATTATAAGAAAGTATTCTTAATGCGAATGAAATGATAATTAATAATAAATAAAATGCTGCTTTGGAATTACGGTAATTCATCGACGATTGAAAAAAGTGGAAATTTTTTAAATAAAACAGATTTATCGTTCCTAAGTGAAAAAAAAAATGATAGAATATCAGTCATCATAATGCATGAAAATCGCATAGCTCAGCCGATTTTTCGAATCAGAAAAGTTTTTCTCAGAGAGCTATTTGGTGATAAAAAATATAGATTAGCCGTCAGTATCACCTGCATTTTCGAAAAAGATTTATTCCTGCGAAAGTTCCAACATTGGCATTCCGAAATGAAATCAACGACTCGCTAAGGCATTTCTGTCCTTATTCGATATTTTTCACGAAAAGATTTTAAGAATCAAAAATTTTTTGAAAGGCAAGAGAAAGTACAGCTTATCGTTCGTCTGTATTTACTATAAACTGAAAGGTAAAATGCAAAATAAAAAGCAAAATTAAAAATCAGAATGAGAATGATAATCGAACAATGCGTGGTTTCCATTAAAAAATTAACGAAACTTGTTTCGAAGGCCTTATTGAACCGAACAATGAATCGGCGACGCTGCTAATTATGTAATATTGAAAAATAATGTTGAAGTTAATTACATCATTTTTAGATTAGACCTGAAACCATTTATTAAACTTGTTGAATGTCGAAGGGAAGAAGCCACTTAGATAGATACCTTAGATCGATTAGGCCTTCGTTGCCTCAATTAATGATCAACAAATTTTTACGAAAGTCAAAGGTCAAATTAATTAAACGGAAATTAAATTAATTAATAAAATCCATGTTTATAATATTTGCCATTATTTAATCCTTTTTAAGTAAAAACAATATTAAACAATAAATAAAATTAGAATAAAAGAACAAATATAGAGATAAATATCTCTTTTGCGGTCAAAAAATGTATTTATGATAAATGGTTTATCACTGTGAACATTGGGATGGCTAAAATGGCTCAGTGTATTACTGCCCTCGTCTTCGAGTGCCACTTCCGACAAAGAATAAACCTTCAGAAATAATAAATATTTTTAGAAAAAAAAATAAAATATTACGATAAAAAATTTATTAAAATGTGGAAAAAGAGTTCAAAATATAAAATCTTCCACAAAGACAATGCTAAGAAAGATGCTTGGTTGCTATATTTCAAAGCTTATGGCTCAACTTGCTTCAAGATTGATTCTAGCCACAAAATAAGCAGTTCTAAAAGAAAAAATATCATTATAATAATTTAAAAATAAGGACTTTTTTTATCATTAATTTTTAGGTAATCGAAGACTAAACTAATATTTTTTCGTAGCTCAAATCGTATAAGTATGCATTTATATATATAAAACATAAATATTTATATACATAAAATAGAAAATACAAGAAAAAAATATAGTAATTATTTTTGAGTGCTATTCAATATTTGGAAAACTTGAAGATCCAGCTATTTTCTACAGACAGTTTTCAGTAATAATACGTAAATTATTACTCAGTACTACTATATTTTTTCTCACCAGTACTAGTTAAATCCGCTAGCTTTTAGAATAGATATATGTAGGGATTATCTACCTTGGCAATAGAACTATAGATGAATCGTCAACATCAGCCGGATTTTTGGATATGTTTTTTTACTTTTACCGTAGAATTTTTGGTGTTCAGTACTTTAATTTAAGTAACAACCCACTGAGTGATTCTATTCTCTTTTGCTATTCTCTCCACTGTCCACTGCAGCTCGAGCAGTGCATCAGCCGGATTCGAATATAACTCGATTCTCGGTGGCAATTGTTTTGAGCCACCGAGCCACTGGCACACCTACTCAGCTCTATTAACGCAACGTAAATGTAAAAATTATTTTAAAAATTATAGGATGATTGAAGAAACCTTTAAAAAAAGAAAAGAAATCAAAGTAGCGAGAAGTATGATATATCACTCTGAATTCACCACTTCTTAAATAATAATCATAGCTAAATGATGAAAAATTTGGGTTGTCTGACAATGATAAGCAGTTGTAAAAGTGCATATTTACACCGGAAATGATTCCAGAATTTGTGGTTAGCGAGAATCGAGGTCAGTTTGCTTAATTTCATATCGATTCACTCAATCAAAACCATTATCATTTACCATTGTTAAAGAAACTCTATAGAAACATTAATCATAGAGAACAGATTAACAGTTGCTGTTAACATTAATTGGAGATGAGGTGTCACCTGGCTCGTTTATTGTACACAATTTTAAAACAATACCTTTAAACAATATGGAATTAACGATTTAATACGCAGCTTAAGGAACTAGAAATTAGCATCGAGTGAATAAAAATTACTCAAACTTATGGAAATAAATTATAAAATGATGATAAGAAGCGAATTTCGCATATGTTAATGAAGCTTATTAAAACAGCAAAAGAACGAGAAAATTTCATAAAAAAAATTTTAAATGGCAGAATATTTGTGAAAAAAAAAAAAGAACGTTTGCAAGGATCTGTATCGAGGCTTTTCAACGAGACATCAATCAAACTGGATCATTGAATGAATTTTTAGTTATTACGATTTATTTCTATAAAATGTTTGGAAGATGCCTTTTTTTCGACGGAAATCTAGAATTTTTCAACTGCCAATATCTATTTTTGCTTCATTGCTTTATAATCATCAAAACTAACGATTCTAAGATTATTAGCAATAACGTCGTTTTAATGCGATGAATTTTGTTTATTAAGGGATTTCAAAAATTTAGTAGTTTATTTCAAAATTTATTATATATAAAGGTCTTCGTTGAACATTTCATCGAAATATTCTAATAATTTTTTAGTAATTTACGGATTTCACTTGTTCATTTTAATTCTGGAGATAATGAAATGAACCTCTCATATCTAAATTAGCATAACTGAAAAGTGAATAAAAATGAAATGAAGAGTGAAATCAAATGAACAAATAATGAGGTCAAAGGCCGCAAAAAAATAAACTGGATTTCGCTGGATGTAATTATTGACCATAGAACGCGGCAACCTTGGAATAGATACATTAATTAATGTCTGCAGATAATAGATAACCAGTTTTTGAGCAATCTTTACTA